TATGTATTAAAATAATGAAACATCCGAGAGATTATTTATGATTATACAAAATTTACATAAAACAACGGTAATACGGCTGAACCATTTGTTAGTCGATATAAAAATACAGCATTTGTAAGCATTTGAAAGTTCTAACACTTTCTGTGTCTATTATTTGTCTTGACTATATTTTTTATTTGCCTTTGAAAAAGATACAGAGTTGAATACCCTCCATCACATACATGCTAGTAAAATAGTAAATTCAATTAAAGTCTAATTTCCTCGATGGAAATGGAAGTCCTTAATGTGCATAAAATGAAGGTTTTAGTTTATCGTCAGCACTGTGCTGTCGCAAGTCTTGCGAACATTAGCGCAATGTTTCCAAATCAGATTCTTTGAGTAGGACGGCATAAAGATTATCCCGGATTTGTTTCCTGCAGCGATTTCCACGCGAGCATGTGAATATACCCGCGATCGTATTTAAGAGTTCACTCGAAAATTGGTAGTGATGCATACCGTGCCTGCGGTGGCCTAAAGGTACTCTCACATCCCATGCTGCATGTTCGAATGAAACTTATTTGAAAAGTTAGTGGTAAAATTTAGGAAATATTTGTCCCTCAACCGTTGCATATAAATTGCACACTTTTGCAAAAGCGTACCAAAATAATACATGACCTCTCCTGAGCAGAAGTGGTTAGAGTGTCCACCTCAGATGCGAGAGGTCGAACACCAATCGAGTCATACCAAAGGCTTATAAAAATGGTACTCGTGGACTGTTTTGACACTACTTTTCATTGTTGAAACTTTCTGTTTGAGCTGTTTTGAAATTTGGAGAAGGTTTCCCAAATTGACTGCAAATTCAGCTGTATAAGAATCTATGATTTCTGTGAAGTTTTATTTGTTGCTGATGTGTCTTAGATTTTTCATCCTGCGTGTTGTCTTATCACTATCCATTTAATTTTCAAGGAACGTGATGTTAACTTGATTTGAATATATAAGGATGGTCAGTTGTAAGGCATCTTCGGATGTTTCTTTGAGAAGTGGTAAATAGTTTGAAATCTAATTAGGTAAATAAATGTATAAACAGAAACATTCTGAATGCTAAACTCATTTTAAAGAAAATTAAAAGTAGACCAAAACCCTGTTGCATTAAATAAATAAAAGTAACGGAAAACTTGAAACAAAGGACATATAATTTGAATGCAACAAGTGATAAAAATTTCAGTAGACCCTATTTGGTAAGACAAATAATTTCAACAGCATTAAGTGACATCATTATCTGCTTCCTGTATTGACTGGTTCGAATATTTCTAAATTGCGGAAGACCTGAATTTTCTGGTGAATAAGAGGTAGGCGTACATTATGTAATTTGATGTTCTTTATTTAATCTATCAGATCATGACTGAAAGAGATCATGCTTTCACCTGTCAAATGATTCAAAGTACTAACTTCATCTTTTTGCGAAATTGTGCAGTGGATTTCATTATCTATTTTATTTAATGTTAGAAAGACACTTCGAAAATTAGAGACATAACAATACTTGTCAGAAGAACATAAGAATCGATGGCAAATCAAACAGAAATATATTTATAATGTATTTTTCCTGTCATTTTTGTTTACTCATTTTTTCAATTATAAGCTCGATAAGTTTAAAGACTATCAATTTAGCACGCAACACAGATAACTGCAATCCAAGTTAATAGGACAAAATACAATAAAGCATCTAATTTCGTGTAAGAGCGGACATCCCAGTCTACAGGACGAAAATACAGTAAATCATCTATTTCCGTTTAAAGGCATATATCCATTATGTAAACTGAATAAAATGACTTCTTGAAACTAAGTAAAGTAACTGCATGAAACTGAACAAAGTAACAATATGATACTGAATAAAGTAACGATATGATACTAAATAAAGTAACGATATGATACTAAATAAAGTAAAGATATGACACTGAATAAGTAACGATATGATACTGGATAGAGCAATTATATGAAACTAAATTGGATACGATATATCCGTATGTGTCTGATTTGGATTTATAATGTAACTTTAAAAAAATTCAGTCATATTTCTACGATGTCTGTAGTGTGTCAGTTTATAGTGATGTCCAGCACTGGGGAATCATGCCGCAGACACTTTGCATCGTGTCCCACCCAGTCACATTATCCAGACACCAGGCAGCCCAGTCCTAATACTAATCTCTAAATGCTGAACTCCTAGCGAGGTAGCTGTTATTACCATTTTTATGTCTTTGGTATGACACGGCCAGATTTCGAACTCGTGACCCCCTGCATCCGAGGCGGATGCTCTAGGATACGATATGAAGAACTCCGCTAATTATTGATGTCACAGTATAAATTATTTGGGGATTGTTGCACCTTAGTATTGAGAAATATTTAATTTATGCATGTCTTGTAGGAGAAGACTAGCTTCTCGTCTGTTTAATGTAACTCTTCAGTGACTTTGGCCAGTTATAACTTAGTGGACTGGAATCTGTATCTTGTGATTCAAATATGTAAATGTTAATGATACAGTTGAAACATTTCTCTAACTATTTTAAATCATATATGGCTTCTAAGCCTAGGGGCTCGCTATATTTAAATCTGGCACTGGACCTAATCAATAATATCACAGGACGGATTTTTTCTTCAGTAAATATAATGTTAAGAATAAACATTATTTAACTAAATTTCAGATTCTTTAAAACCACTGCAACAGTTGAATTCTAAACAAAATTAAAAAATAAAATTGTCACCAGTTAGCTTAAATTTAATGAATAATGGCTGTGAATGCTGTGTAATTTTCTCTGCAAGCAAAATAGCATTTTCATTTCCGCCAAAGCAACCGAGCCAGTTAACAGCTAATATTTTTCTTCAGTGTATGCAAAGTTTAATTACCATGATTAAATTAAAAGAAGGAATAAAACAAAATATACCATGCAGTGTAGGTGCCATCAAAGAATTAATTCGGAATAAATATTTTATTCAGTAAACAGTGTCTCAAGCCTTAAGACTTAAACCAAAATAAATAAGGTGGCATAAAAAACGTGAAAAGCAGCTGCCGCATGTACCATAACTTGCGACTAGATTTGAACTGATAAAGTGAAATCCAATGTATCGTAAGTTACAACAAAACAGATATCGTCGCAGATATTAAAGTATGATTCAAATCCATTATCTGATTTTACTTTCTCAGTGGAGGTTTTTCTGTAACTAAGCTCACTAACTGATTGATGATCCTTTATTGATTTCCGTGCTGCTTCAGATTTTCCCATGCTACATGCGGACCAATCCATATAGTCTCCTTCGTAGATTTTTTTCACAGCCAGAATTTGATTCGTATTGACGTAATGCTGTATACGAATAATCAGGATTTTGTTCGTGAAGATATCCAGGATAATGACATTTACGACGAAGTGATATTAAATATTTTATTACTTTATGTTTATGATTTTCTTTGATTGATCTTTAGGCAATTGTCTGGCTACATTTACAAGCTCACCATTGCTAGATTCTCCTGCGCAGATTTAACGATAGTTTCGTGAATGGGATCACCGTCGATCTATATAGTTATTTGTTTTCCAGTCGATCTTAGGCACCAAATCGAGAAGTGACCGTCGTTGATATATGATGCAGTTGTCACACTTGGATTCAATAATCATGAAATTGATTATAACAATGTCGTCGTTGACAAATATTGCAGAAGAGACTAAGTCGACGCGATATTTTAAATCGATTCCGAGAAACATTATCAACTGTCAATAACGGATCTAGCTCTTTTGTTAATTCGATTGAAATTTGTTTGAAATTTTATGCTGAAATTTTATCACAACCAACAAAGATGTCACTGTCGTTGTTATCATGGACACAAACGTATCGAGGTTGAATTGAACAAGGACAAGTTAGTAATTAAGACTAACTGTTACTGTATGATATGAATTGTTTACACAGCGCATCTTTACATTTTGATTTTGTTCCGTACAATTGTACAATTTAATACTATGCAGACATGCTTGACGATCAATACACCATTGTTAGCGATTTATCGATAGATGCACGGTTGGTCAATTCTCGTTCTTGATCAAGTGTTACAGGGGAATATTTACATAATACTTGATAACCGTTATTCGTCTCAAACACGAATACGTTATCATGCTGACAATCGCACTACGCAGAGAAATAATCGATGTTAATCCGCTAATTCATGAGTCTGTATTCAGTTTCGTTATGATGATACATCAGTTTCTCAATAATAAATTTCGTATAAATATCAAACACATGATATCTTGAGCGGAATTTTGGAATTATTTCTATAACTGATGATTGACCAATAAATCTTCCAGCGTAACGATTAAAACAATCATCGCGGGTAATCACGTAAAATCTATCAATGATGCCCTATGTGGCCTTATTGTACGAACTGCCCATCATAATAAAAAGAAATTTATTGGCAAATTCTTTCTTCGGATGCCAAACAGGCTCATCAGACAAATAATAATAATCGTACAACCGACAATAACTAAATTTGTCCGTATCTATTATTATGTCATGTGATGTCGTTTCAAAACCATCATTGATAATGTCGTAAAATTCATAAAACAATTTCTCATCGTCTTCGTCCTCGGTTTCTTCAGGTTGAAACGAAGGCGGTTCAGCACAAAATAATTCGCTGCTGAGAAACGGACAATCGCCCAACAAAGATAATAAATCACATTCATGATTAATTTTTTTTCAAATAAACATTGTATCATTGTTGTATACATCATCGTATACGATATATGATGTATCGTTGTTGCTCTCGTCGCTCACTTCATATATATATATATATATATATATATATATATATATATATATATATATATATATATATATATATATATATATATATATATATATATATATATATATTGCCCTTATATTACTTATATCGCAAGTTGATACCTAATTAAAAATAATTATAAGAATATAATAATGACATTTCAGATAAGAACTAATTATTGTCCTTGGTTGTTTCAACTGCTCTGATGGCCTAGTGGTTTATAGCGTCCGCCTCGGATGCGGGGAGTCGTGGGTTCGATCATGCATGATTCCCAAGTGTTAGAATCTCTATAAACACTCACACTGCAGATATCTTAGCGATATAACTGAAAAATTGTTAAAGTTACGTTAAAAATCATAATCATATCACATCACGTCCTTGTTGTTTCAACGTTGGGCTGACGATGCCGTGGTGAATACTGCGGCTACCAAAGAAGCGTAATAAGGCAACGAGGGTTACCGACAATCCGTGCTTGGGTTGTGGCAGCGGAGTTCGTAGTAAAATTAATAAAATAAATGCGGCGGCAAAAATTACAGATCATCGTTGTTTAGTTACAAGCAAGTATCACGTCCGCAAAGAAAATCCACCCACCATGTATTAATTAAATACTGTGCCGTCGGTGACGCAGTACAATGATTTATTTCGTTGATCTGAGGCCTCTATGATATTTAACGAATCGGTGCATATCATTACAATTATTATATGAAACGTACCGATTCGTTAAACAGATGACATCATGCACGAGCGGACAAATGTGTCATTTCTAAAGAATAATATTTTTGTTTGTTTGATAAACGATTATTATTATTATTATTATTATTATTATTATTATTATTATTATTATTATTATTATTATTATTATTATTATTATTATTATTATAAATCATAAGTGATCAAGAATACCTCAACAAATATATTCAGGAAGACAAATCGAAGGCCGTGGCGATCATCATGGAGGAACTACAGACACTGAACGATATTAAACGAGGAAATGTCTACAAATTTGATATATAAGTCGTTGGTGAGCCTCGCCTCGCTCATAGAAATCGAACGTGTTTTGTTGGGCTCGATAATCGACAAATAATGAATATCGTGGAAAAAAAATAGTCCAGCGCAAGATGAAATAAATGACTGTCCCTGGGCTAGGTGACAAGTAATATTTCGTTGATCTGAGATTTTTGTGATATTTAACGAATCAGTACATAACATTATAATTATTATATGAAATGTACCGATTCGGTAAACAGGGAGCCCCAGGGAGAAATGATTTTTCCCTTGATCGACCAATATTTCCAGTAAAATATTCTTTCGTAATTCCTTATTTGTTCTCGTTCTTCTTCAGGGCTGGGTTTCTATCCCTTGACATTCTTTTATGTCGGACATTTTATAATCATTCATCCCTTTAACATATCATTAATATTATTATATGAATATTGAATCTACACATCGTTTCCGCAGCCGCCTCAGTAATTCGTTCCGCTGTTCCAATTCGGCTCCAAGATGCGCCGCAAGTTTATCTCATTCCACAATAATCCGCGCCAGATCATTTCTGAGCGTGATAACGATGTTATTATCGTAGATTTATTTTCACAGGTGGTTCATTATTAAAAAAAATTGTATCATCACAACATGCACAAATAATCGTCGTCGTCGTTGTTTTTGTCGTTTCACGCATTATTTAGGAGAGCATCTCAAGCTTTTGCAGATTTCCCTTATTTTGTTTCATCAATGCGCTGGCCCTGTATTCTTCCTGAGTTTTCTTTCTTATTGTTTTCACTCTGTTATTATTCTATAATGATTTAACCGAATATTTGATCAAGTCCAATACCATATCGTGACCGAGGGTCGTGTAAATTTATTGCTATAAATCCATGTGGGACTGACTGAGCATGACTAAAGTAATTTTTGAATCCATTGAAGTCCATATCGGAACACCATGTCTGCCAAATATTTCGTAGCGTATGTGTATCAATGCCGTTGAATACAGCAAGAATATTGCAGTTATCGCGAATCACGTTTGGAATCTGAGTGTAGCGTTGAGTGACATATATCACGTCAGTGTTTTTATGCCTACCTCGTGAAAATATTCTAGCAGGGTTCTTTTGATTATCTAACATCACATCATCGTACACTACAAGATTGTTTATGTCTCCATGGAGGTCATCTACGCTAGGCACATCATCAATATCTGTTATAAAGTCGATTACACTTTCACCTTTAATTTCTGATGCATTCTCATTATAATCTTTTAGCACTTCATAGCACCGTTGATCATCTACGGATGGAGCAACTAAATATAATTTATCCCACTTCATAAATCGCATTATCAAATTAAGCAGCAGTTGTGTTTTACCCGATCCAGATGGTCCGATTATAATGGCACGGACAGAATTCGGAAGCGCTGCGTGGTGCTTCACCGGTTCTCTTCTTTTAGTCGTTGAAAAATCAATTATATTCATAACGCTATATATAAATTATGGATCTATATTGTGTTAAATGTAAAAAGTTTACTAGTACAAATGATGTGACGACGATTACAACTAAAAATAACATATCGGCACTTACTGGTAAGTGTGTAACATGTGGTACGAAAAAATTTCGATTTATCTCTTTAAAAAAAAGCGACACGGAGGTGATATCGCAGCCAAATTGGGAAAACTCCCCGGAACCCCATGGGCAAAATATCCTGGAGAAAAACATCTTCCAGGATATAGCTACTGTGGTCCCGGAACGAGATTAGATCTCAGACTTGATGATCAAAATCAGCCCCGGCCTGGTGAGTATCCGATAAATGCTATTGATAAGGCATGTCATGCTCATGATGTTGCATATAAAAGCAATAATTTGCAACAAAGACATCTCGCGGATGTAAAATTAATTCATGCGTTAAATGCTATTCCCGATAAATCCTTCAAAGAAAAATTGGCTTCATGGTTGGTCAAATCAGCTATGAAAGGCAAATTGATGTTAGCTGCTGGTAATTGAAAACACTAGTGTTTTTATAGTATGGAATCTATTTTTTATTCTCCGAAAGGATCCTGAGGGGTAAAGCAGCAATCAGTAAACTCGCTAACGCTGCAAAAGTGAAAACGTCCACTGCGGAAGATTGGTTATCCAAACAAGCTATATGGCAAATTTATCTACCACCGCCTTAACAAATTAATTATTCTCATTTTGATGTTACCGTACCCAATGAAGCTCATCAGGCTAATTTATTGTTTTTACCACATGACCATGGTTACAAATACGCGCTAACTGTAGTTGATATTGCGAGTCGATTTAAACAAGCAGAACCATTGAAAACAAAGTCAGCTTCTGAAGTCGCTTCTGCATTTGAAAGGATTTATCGACATCGACGAGGTCCTCTAAGATGGCCAAATCTATTACAAGTTGATCCTGGCAAAGAGTTTCAAGGTGCTGTTCTATCAACAATGAAAACTCATAATGTTACAATACGACGGGGACATACTACGTTAAATCGTGATCAGGCAATTGTAGAACGATTTAATCGAACTCTTGCAGAACGGTTATTTGGATATCAATATGCAAAAGAATTCATCCAAGAAAATCGATTTCGTGAATGGGTCAAAAGGTTACCGAGTGTAGTTGCAGCGTTAAATAACGAGATTACTCGAACTATTAATATGAAATCAAATATTGCAATAAAAAAATTATATACCCGAACAACCACAGGGGGTTAGCACTCAGCCACTTCTCGGTGATGTTACTGTGAGATATTTATACGAACCAGGAGAACTTGAAGGTGGTAAAAGAAGAGCTACTGATCCTATATGGAGTGTACAGATTGGATTCAACTGCACCTCAGCGTGGTTTTACACGCGAACAACTACAAGTCATTCCGGACGATACTCAATTACCTCCACATGGTCTTAACTAGCTCCGTTACGTCTATTACACTCAAGACAGGTCAACATCACATTGTTTCTGACATGACCAAGACTGTTATTTTTTCTGTCTACGGTGAATTGTCGAGGGTCTTTATCCGAATACTGCCAGTGCATTACACAATTGCAACTGGCGCAGTGATTATTCTGTTGTTCTTTTAATGCGATTATTACTTCAGCTTCAATATCAAATTCTCGTTGTTTTTTTTTGTCATGCTGTTTGTAACCAGAGAGTTTTTTTTTATTAATGATGCTAATATCAGTGCTATCATCGTTTGCATTAAAATCATCATCGAAAACAATCCTTCGTAGTTGATTTATTCGTCGTACTCTGGACACTGCGAGATAGACTAAATTTGACCATTCAATGCGATTATCAACTATCCAAACAATTGTATCCGTGATGGTCAATCCTTGTGACGAGTGTATTGTTACATAACCAAGCGTCCATGGTGATTTATCAGCGCATAATGCATCTTCTACAGCATAGATATCAACTAGCTCAATATCATTTAACACTAGAATCTGTTTCTCCGTCCGGCCTGGAATTTCAACTTCAATATTCTGCTTTCGTGTATCCGATGGTCTATAACACAACGGTACTGGAAACGTTGGGAATTTTTTCTTGTGTAGATCAAACAACTTTTTCTGAAGTGCGTCTCTGACTATCTTTCTACTTGCTACTACAAAACCATTTGGTCTCCATGTTTCCCAAAAATCATTCCTAGGTTTTTCAGAAATTATTTCACGCGCTACTTCACATTGCATTCTATCGGGTTGTAATCTAATTAGTTTTTTAAACTCACGTAACTGCTCATCGAGTGCTCTATAGTCAGTATCAATTTCTTCGTAATAATCAACAAATCCTTTTAACCAATTATGTGGACTTCTACCAACAAATGGTAGTGGTTGACCATGATCGCCGCACAATATAACTTTTGTATTATTTTGCAATAACCAATCAAGAAACATTTTTAATACATCTTCTGAAACAGTACATGCTTCATCCCAAATAATAACCGCAGGAATAAATTTCTCACCCATTCGCTCAGGAGTCCAAGCATCGCCCTTGTATCGAAAAAAACTATGATACGTGCAAGCTTCAACATTTCGTTGTTTTATCTCTCTCGCTAGTCTATGGGTTGGTTTGAGTACAATCATGGACGTTCTCTCTCGATATAATTCTATCACACGTGTTGTCTTTCCAGACCCACCACAACCGTTTTAATAAACCGTTTTATATCTACAAATTGGATCTGATATCGGTGGTGCTTTAGACATAGAAAATCCTTCAGATTTTTCACTGATAGAATTATCGTTTTTCAGGTAACTGCTTTTAATCTCAACGTCTGCTGATTTAGAATAATCGCATTGTATTTCA